TCCCACTAGATCACTTACAGCAAGCTTTATTACCAATGTTAAAATTTCAAATGGTACATAGCAATTCAATCAACTTCTTCCGACAACAAGGGATGAGATGTTCGAAGACATAGAGGCAATAACGGAGTTGGAACCCAATGAGATCATTTTACATAGCTATATTTTTTGTTTTCACTTTGTACTCTTTTCATTTCATGACAATTTCCTCTTACTAGGTGTTGTACCCCAAAATTTTCCCTCCCATATTCTTCAAAGTTTTGACAAGCATCATCTCAATTTGCTCAAGTCTACTCAAGGATTGCACAGTCTAAACATCCTCCTAAGCCAGTCAAATTAGGGTTTTGGTTCCTTCAGTGAATTTGAGGTTTTCAATGGTCCAATCAAGTACCATGGGCCTATATGCAATGTCAAGTACCTACATGTCAAGTCTCAAGACTCACAAGGTCAAATTGCACAGTCAAAAGTCCTATTTGCTTCACAGTCAACTACAGCGGTAAAATGGTCATTTGGCAGTCAAAAGTCAAAATTTTTGGTCAACATCTTATTTTGAAGCCACAATCATCATTTGATCAAGTCTTGATCATGATTATACAAGAATGGCTCAAAAATCATCCAGATGCCAAAAGTTGCTATTTTTGGACAGCTGAAAAGTCAACTGTAACTTGACCAAGGCATAACTTTTTCATGGTTCATCAGAAAAGTCCCATCCAATGCTCATTTTGAAGGGGATGACATTTTCTACAACTCATATTCACATTCCAAGTCCAAGAAATGCTCTCACAAAAAGTTATCAATTTCTACATTATAGGTCATTTTCAAAAGTCAACAAAAAGGCACTTTAAGTCAAAGACCATAACTTGAGATTGGTAAATCAAAATGACATGGGACCAAAGGAATTGGTTATAGGACTTCAATACCTTTCCAAAATATCCAAGAACATGTTCATAGCTTCAAAATTGAGCAAGATATGCATTGGAGAAGTTGGGAAATTTTTGGGAATTTGCAAAAGTCAACTTTGCCTAAAACACCTTGTTTTTGCTAATGGGCCTCAAATTATTTCTTGAAACATTGTCCAAGGCCTATGCACGACCCATTGAACTTAAATTGATTTATTTTCTTATTTTTAATTAATTAATTGAATTTTTATTAATATTAATTCATTTAATTGATTTTAATTGTAGGAAAATTCAAAAGATATGGTTTTCAAATCTTTTTGTGATGCAAATAAACTCAACACATGCTGAAGATTTCATGTATCAATCAAGGAGACAAAATCATCCAATTTTAGCAAGTTTTCTCAATCAAAAGATGCAAAAATATTTGATTGGAAATCAAAGATTGAAAACATAATTCCATGGATCTTTGACCTAGTTTGTACCCTAATTTCATTCCACTATATGTACTGAAGCAAACCCTAAAGCCTTGGACGTGCAAGCTGCTGCAAAACACCATAACCAAAATCCTAAAAATCAAGAAAAAGTTGAAAACTGAAATCAACCTTCCAGCACAATTAGAAGCCTTTTCTTGATTCAAACACGTTGCTGGGACACTCAGGAACCTATTGCAATCACAAACAAGCCATAAAGCTCAAGAAACACGCCATAACAGATTCACGGTTTGCCTAACTTTGTCAAAATCGAAACTCAGAATTCATGCATCTTTACTGTGATTTTTTGTGTGTTTTGAGTTGCTTGCATCCACAGGAATCTTTTGGCATAAATTAATTGCATTGAAACGCCTTGAATCAGAATCTACCATTAAAATTTTTTAGGGTTTTGAAGCTTTCAAAATAGGGCTTTACAGCATAGGAAAAATTGGAACCTCCCGTGCCCATGGTTGAAACCGTCTGAACGTGACGAATTCATTGGACACCTCGCGCCATATTTATGTAGCTTGGATTTCTATTCGCTATTATTGGCAGTTTCACTTTATGGGGGTTTAAAACCCCCGCTATCTTGTTTTTGTTTTACAGGGAAACGAGGAAGATGATGAGCTGTACGTATGTGGTTGGGTAGTTCAAACTTACGCGCGTGATTTTGTTTGATGCAACATGTTAATTTGTTTTTTTATAATATATTTGTTGTGTATTATACTAACAAAAGCGTGCGCTTGGCTTAGTGGAAGAGGACGTGTCTGGCAATCAATGGGACCTGGGTTCGATTCCCAGGTCCACCCAAACCTCAATATTATTTTTTCTAACAAATTCCCTTGCAGCGCTTTCCATGTATTCCACCATGAACCTTACAAATCAGGCCGCCAAGTGTCTCAATAGACTGATCCAAGGGCCAAAGGGTGCTCCACACCATGCTCCAAGTCAATGAGCACGCACCTGATTCCAGAAGTCAACAAGGGCTTTGTGCTATTGGGCCAAAATTGCTTGACTAAACCTCCATTGGGCCATCAAACCCCCCTTGGTTTTTACTATTCTTTTTATTTTCTTTTTCCTTTTAATTCTTTTAACTAATTATTATTATTATTATTATTAACTAACAAATTAATTAATTTTTTTATAATAAAATCAGAAACTTAAAAATTGTAAATATTTTTATTTATTATTTTTACTATTAACTATTATTTTTGTAAATAAAATACTAACCAAGTAATTAGTTTAATAGGTCAACTTTAATCTTTTTTCATAAATAAATAAAAATCAATGAGAATTAGGGTTTGACTATTTTCAATCATATTTTCTTATTATTATTATTTATTAATTATTATTATTTTTGTAAATAAAATGTAAATTAATTAATTTAGTTAATTAGGTTAACTTTGACATTTTTTATAATAAGTAAAATAATTTAGAATTAGGGTTTTCTTGACTTTTAATTTCCTTTTTCTTTTATTTCCATAAAACATAAAAAACACAAAAAACATTTTTCTTGTAAATAATTAATTAGTAAATTAGAGTTAATATTTAATTAAATGCAAAGGACAATTTCTTTATTCCTCAAAAGGGTCAAAACCCTAAGGACGTCCCGATTCTAATTTCTTTCGCGCATTATTACTTTTGATTCTATTTATGTATCTGCTCAAAGGATGTAATAGTTAATTAGGTTTACCGCTTTATTTACTTTCCGCATTTATTTTCCAAAACGGGTTATGTTTTTGGCGATGTATAGACCCGCGCCTTGTAATAGCGTAGATTTACCTTTCCGCATTTTATTTTCCGCACTCTTAACTATTAATACGCATGCAAGACTGAATGACAAATAAAACCAATCCGTAGCTCACAAATGACATGTACAAGATAAACATTAATTGAAAAAACCCACAAACACTTGAAAAGCAAACAATTTTTGAAAACATAGTGAGCAAGTACCTAAGAGCCCGTGGATAACCACGGATAGAAAGGGTGCTAACACCTTCCCTTTCTATAAATCTACCTCCCGAACCGAGAGACATCTCGAAAAAGGAATTTTGCTGTGCTTTTGTCCTTTCCATGTTGGAGAACATAAAAGACGGTGGCAACTCTTGCTTACCGCGACATTTCGCGAAACCAGCTTTAAAACAGTCAGTTCTATTTCCACCGATCACAGAACCGGCGACTCTGCTGGGGACTCTTATAAAAGTGAGGTGTACCTTAGGATTATATCATACTTATGTTTTCAATTGCCTGTTTTGATTGCTTTAATATTGTGGGCCTGTTTTGGGAGTTCTATAGATCCTAACCCGGATCTGGGGGATACCTTTTAGGTAGCAACAAACTGTGAGGGAACTGTGTGGGGTATACCGACACGGTTGAAGCAGTTGCTACGTTGACATGACACTTTGGTGAGTACCGGTAACCCTTGAGTCAAGTCAAGGAGAGTACAGGGCCGCCGCGTGGTGTCGTGAAGCATCAACTAACCTTAGGAACCTTACTTGACCATCCTGGCCTCTTTAGGGTAGTGAGATGACCGACTTTGGTGCAATCCGAAGTTGGTAGATACTCGATACTACACTCATTGAGGTTTGTTTTCTTGGAATATTTTGATCGCCAGTTCAGTGGCTAAATCAAAACAATGAACACAGAAAACAACCCAATGATATTGAGCTCCTTAGAACCCGGTTACTTTTGATAGGACAGGTTTTTGAGCCCACCAACTTCAAGAGGGCAGTACCCCAAACTTCAGGCTGGCCTAAACTCTAAGGGCTGTCTTGTGTAACTTGTGTGCCTTATCATGTTTGCCTTTTGTGAATACTCGTGGTGTGTTTTTATCATAACATCATAACATCATACAACATCATATCACTACTAAAAAAAAGACATTTGAGAAAAGGTTTTTACATCGGGTATCAAAATATATGATGTAAAAAATACAATTAACAAACTTTTTACATCAGGTATTTATTTGCAATGATATAAAAAATAAGAAAAAAAATATATTTCGCTACCTATTACATCGGGCAAACGCATCCACCGATGTAAAAAGTTTTTAGAAAAAAATACGGTGGCATTTTTGTAAATAAGAAACAAGGTAGTAGAAATATTAATAAAAAACATGCAACATATTACATCGGTTAACTAAAAACCGATGTAATATCTTCACAATAGATATTAATATAAAAAATAAATTAAAGAATAAATTAATATCTTCACAACATATTACATCAGTGGAAATTCAAACCGATGTAAAAAAGTCAGAAAAAGAAGCTTGCATCAGGTATTAGTATCCACCGATGTAATAGGTTCAAAACCCTTACATCGGTTATTAGGATCCACCGATGTAATAGCTTCTCCACTAAGCCAACCCTTACATCGGGTATTCATTTCCACCGAGGTAATAACTTCCAAACCCTTATTTCCCAAATTCAAAATATTTCAATATTTCCACTGTACAATATTCCGTAGCCGCCGTTTCACTCCTTTCCACTGTACGCATACGACCCTTACGACCGCTGTTTCACAAACGTTACCACCGCCGTTTCCCAGCCACCATCATCGACGTTTCCGTTCACGAAGGTTCTCCAAAGGTCATGTCCATATATTTTAAGTTCATTATATGCATGCATGGCATTCAATGGTCCAACGGAGAGTGAAACAAATTGGTTTGAAGATTGTTTCACCAAATGTTCTGGACATGACACTTGTAGATCTCCCAGGTATTACAAAGGTTCTCGTTGGCGATCAGCCTTCTGATATTGAAGCCCGGATCAGAACAATGATCATGTCATATATCAAAGAGCCCTCATGTCTTATTCTAGCTGTCACACCGGCAAATTCAGATTTGGCTAATTCCGATGCTCTTCAGATGGCAGGAGTGGCTGATCCCGAGGGTATGCTTTTGCTTCCATATACTAAAAGCTTTCAATATTCTTTTGCATCTATTTAATTTGTTTTAAATGGTTTTATATATGATGCAGGTAATAGAACGATCGGTGTAATCATAAAGGTTCAGTATACTCTTCTAACATTATATGTGTATCTTTATGGATTTTGTTATATGTTGTTGAGTCATTCTGACTGTTCGACACATTTTTTCTGCTATGAAGTTGGATATCATGGACCGAGGTACTGACGCCCGAAATTTGTTACAAGGAAAAGTTATTCCCCTCCGACTTGGCTATGTTGGCATTGTAAATCGTAGTCAAGAGGTAATGATATTATCATACTATGATGAATTTGTTGTTTGACTAATTTAACTATCACATATATTCTGTTAGATTTTTTTCTTTTCTAAATGGAATAACACTTTGCAAACAAAGATGCATATGCTAATTGCTTGAATAGCGTGCAAGTCAATGTGTTATACTGAAATATGGGTTCTCTTGTTTGGTAAAATAGGACATTCAAATGAACCGGAGTATAAAAGATGCTCTTGTTGCTGAAGAGAAATTTTTCCGCAGCCGTCCTGTAAGGAAATTCCTAAGCTTAGTTGTATTCAAACTTTTTACTTAATATATACTCTATACTAATGTTTGTCCATTTTTTCTTCATAGGTATACAACGGTCTAGCAGATAGTTGTGGTATACCTCAACTAGCAAAGAAGTTAAACCAGGTAGAGCCTTTATTTCATTTAAAGTAAATTTAAAATATATTTTACTGTTACACTGTTGTGGCATCCATTTCTCTTCTCATTTTCGCCTTATACATTTTTCACGCCAATATCTTGATTTTCCTCAATATAAAAGCATTTAAAAGCTTTCCTCCTTAGTAGTATAATTTAGGCATATTCTTAACTATAGAAGTGGGCTTTCAATTCAAGAAAATAAATTAGTTGCTTCACTTTTAATGCTGATTTTTTATTTGCTTTGTAGTTTTAGATTAACTAGCATACAATGACAGTGTAGAACTTTTAAAATTATGAGAACCAATAATAACCCTTCATTTGTATGACTTTTAAGTTATATATGATGAAAGTTAAACTTTTTTAATGATCAAACGGTTATGATTAACAGTCCGTGTCAAAAATCTTTACACCGTCAAGGGAAATATGAATTAAATCCTTAGTATTTTTGCTGTCAATAATTTGTATGATCCTTTAAAGTTGGAGAGTAATGTGGTTTTTTATTTGGGTGTCATGAAATAATAAACTTTATTAGAGTATTTATTTGTGGCTTGATTTTGTTTGAGATTGAAAGAGTCTAAAGAGAATATGGCCAGGTTATAATTGTCTCGGAAAAAAATGCTATATCAAAATGGGAGAGGGAAAACTGTTAAAATCATTCTTCGAAAAACACAGTAAAAAGATCTAAATTTATGCTATTTTTAAAAAGAGACCATTATGAATTCAGTTAAGTTTGTGGTTTATGGACTGATGGATGCCATGTATAATTGCCTGTCCATTACTTTGCAGATTCTAGCACAAGATATCAAAGTTGTGCTACCTGGGTTGAGAGCACATATAAGCAATAACCTAGTTACTGTTGCAAAGGAGCATGCGAGCTATGGAGAAATCACGGAGTCTAAGGCATGTGTTAATACTGGACCTGTCTTGCATATGTCACTATGACCTGTTAACTAATTATTAGTTAAATTTACTGGATAGTCATTCTCCTTATTTAATTAAATATCATATCATATACTTTGGCTAGATTTTTGCCTCATTTTATCTATACTTTTTAATCGTTATTCCTCAACAGGCTGGTCAGGGTGCTCTTCTCCTGAACATTCTTTCAAAATATTGTGAAGGTACCTATCCCTACAATCTGGTTTATTTTCTTTCTCTGCTTTTCCATTTATGAATTCTTATTTTTTGTTTCTTTTGTATTTGTTAACTGGTATCCACATATCTTTACCTTTACTAATTCAGTAACTGCTATCTCCATGTTCTTTCTTTCTGAAAATAGCATTCTCCTCCATGATTGAGGGAAAGAATGAGGAGATGTCCACATCCGAGTTATCTGGTGGGGCTCAGATTCATTATATTTTTCAATCCATCTTTGTCAGGAGTTTAGAGGTATATATTGCTGTATTTATATGATGATATAACATTATTGTTATACTTATACATATTCTTATATCATACTTAAAGTAGAGATAGAAAAGACAACTATAATTTTCAGAGTGGCCCATTTGAATCTGATTAGAAACAATCAACTAGCCTTTTTTTTTGTTATACTAAGTGGATGTCTAACCTACCAATTTTTATCTGTTTAATAAATATCCAAGCATCCCTTAATTGCATTTCAAGGGTGGAAATGGGTTATTTCTTTTGTTATACTAAGTGGATGTCTAACCTGCCAACTTTTATATAGGCAAAAAGAGTAGTCAATGCCACACAACCTAGGATTTGTGTTGCTTATGTTCTTTTTCTTTTAATTTACCTATTTTGAGATTTGTTGTGTAACTTTACACTATCTTGAAGGAGGTAGATCCATGTGAAGGCTTGACTGATGATGATATTCGTATTGCCATACAAAACGCAACTGGGCCAAGATCAGCATTGTGAAGAATTTGTAATTGTAAGTTTGTTTGTTGTAATACAATACAAGTTTGCAATACAATTGTTCAATTTGTAAGTTTGTTGTGAAAAATATGAAAACATCGACCTAGATGTGATATATGTGATGTTGGAAAGCTATGAAATCTATATAGCGACATAAATATAGTCTGTGTGATATTGGAATAATATGAAAAAATGGGTACAAATTATATTTGTACAGGGAAACATCCAGAAAATAAATAATCTATTCCAAAAAAATTTCATACATTTTACATCGGTTATTAGTAAAAACTGATATAAAAACTTTCAAAAAGGGACTTTTTACATCAGTTGGGAATAATAACCGATGTAAAAAGTTGCGTCACTGGGGACTTTTTACATCAGGTATTACTTCTAACCGATGTAAAAAACTGGATCAATTTTTTTAAAAAATGTGCGTAATAACTGTTTCTTACATCGGTTCATATATTATAACCGATGTAAAAAAGGGACTTTTTACATCGGGTATTACTTCCAACCGATGTAAAAAACTGGATCAATTTTTTAAAAAATGTGCATAATAATTGTTTATTACATCGGTTCTTATATTATAACCGATGTAAAAAAGGGACTTTTTACATCGGTCCCAAAACCGATGTAAAAAGTACCTAATGTACTATATCGCCTGACTTTACATCGGACCCAGAACCGATGTAAAAAGTCAGTTTCACCCGATGTAAAAAGTCATTTCTGCACTAGTGTATGCATTTACTAACCACTTCAAGGGTTCAAATCTTCATCTTTGTTCTTGTTTTGTAGGACATGAAACTATCCGCAGAAAGACAATTCAGATCAACCTTGTAAGGGTCCCTCCTCAGCTTAAGGAGCTTACATCCAGGATTCCCGAGAACTCGTCCTTCAGTGAAAGGCATGGTAGACTCATCAGCTTGGTCAATACCAACATTGAAGAGGATATGGTGAAAGTGTTGTTCCAGTTCTTTGACCCTCTGCACCACTATTTTACTTTCCCGGATTATCAATTGGTGCCTACTTTGGAAGAGTTTTCTCAGCTTCTGAAGATTCCTATCCTTAATCAACTACCCTACAACGGTACGGAAAGGGAACCAAAACTTGAAGAGGTGGCTAAAGCATTACACCTACAACCATCTGACATCAAGGGACATTGGGAAGTTAGAAGTGGTATCAAAGGATTTTTGGCAAAGTTCCTGTTTGAGAAAGCACAAGAATGTTGGAATTCCCTTGACCTACAAGCCTTTGAAGAAGTTGTGGCACTCCTTGTTTATGGGTTGGTGTTGTTCCCGAATCCGGATCAGCTTATAGATATCAATACTGTCAAGATCTTCATGTCCAGGAATCCTATACCTACGTTGCTCGGGGACATCCTCCATTCATGTTACACTCGAACCATGAAAAAGAGAGGTGTTCTAATTTGCTGCACTCCTCTCCTGGCAAGGTGGTTTATTTCACACCTTCCACAATCATTTTTGAAGAACGAGCGGGGTTCGAGATGGTCACAACGATTGATGACTCTTACACATGCTGATATACATTGGTGTTCTCGGTCTAGAGAAAATGTCACTATCATTGATCGTTGCGGAGAGTTCCCTAACGTTCCTTTACTTGGAATCAGAGGAGGCATTACTTACAACCCGTGTTTGGCTTTGAGACAGTTTGGATATGCTCGGAGGGACGGCCCTCATGACATGTTGATTTCTGACATAGTTTTTGACTTCGACAACGATGCACAAGGACTTCGCCAGAGATTTATCAGAGCTTGGAGGATGCCCAACAGGGTAGATAGCAAGACACTGGGGTACAAGAACTCCATCCCCTTGGAGCCTTATCTCAAGTGGGTACGAGCCCGCTCCCAGAAGTTGGTGATGCCATATCCTCATGTTCTCCCCGTGATCAAAGAGCCAGTTTTGGAAGGAGAGGTACCATACACCATTCAACATCCTGACATGCCTACATCCTGGGAAGAAATGCAAAAGAGCTAGATCCAACTCAAGGAAGAACGGAATTCTCTTGAAACCAGTCTACATGCCAGTGAGAAGAAGGTCTTGGAGCTCACCCGTCTACTGCACGAGGAAAAAACTCTCAACACTTACATCGCTCCAAAGAGGATGCGCAGTGTCTTTTGGGATTAATTATTTTGTAATGCTTTGCCCATGAGGCCCTGATGTAGTGAACAGATTATTTCTTAATATAACGTGTGTTCCTTTTTTGTCTACAACGAATTTGAACTTTCGAACCCTTGAATGCATTGCATAAATAACATATCATGCATCATGTGCATAACAGGTACTCTTTTTTACAGGTTGCTTAGTCTTCTTCGCTGTTTATTTCAGCAGTCATCATGAATCCTGAATCATCCAATGAACAAGCTATCAAGGCCCTCCAGGCCCAGAACGCCCAGTTTCAAGAGCTGGTCATGGGCTTAGCCCAAGGTCAAGAGGAATTGAAGGCTCTACTGGTGAAGAAGAAGAAGAGAACTGTACTGTTCAACACTGGACGGAGGTTTGGTAATACACTGCAGAATGAGGCTGATCAGGCTACTTCCTCTGTAGGGAAAGACAGTCCCCAAGGGGGAAGGGTTCCTAGTCATGTGGTCTCCGACAACGAGACGGATTTCAATGATGAACAATACCCTCCTGCTGAGGACAGGTACAAACAACTGGAGGACCGTCTGAGTGCTATGGAGATTCAACAGGTGTCTGGGTTGGATTTCGGAGATCTAGGTTTATCTTCTGGGGTGGTGATCCCACACAAGTTCAAAGAACCTTCTTTTGCAAAGTATGACAGGGCTTCCTGCCCTAAGCTGCACCTCTGTTCTTATGTAAGGAAGATCCAACCATATACTGCAGACAAGAACTTATGGATCCATTTCTTCCAGGATAGCCTTTCAGGGGCTCAACTCGAGTGGTTCTATCAGCTGGATGGAACCAGTATTCGTAACTGGGAGGACTTGGCTACTGCATTTTATAAGCAGTATCAGTACAATGCCGACCTCGCTCCTACACATACCCAACTCCAGGGTATGTCGCTAGGGACGGGAGAAGGTTTTAAGGAGTACGCACAAAAGTGGAGAGACCTGGCTGGCAGGGTGCAGCCACCTTTGACTGACCGTGAACTCGTGGACATGTTCTTGGGGACCCTGTCTGGTCCATTCTTCAACCATCTGATTGGTAATTCTTCTGCAGGGTTTACAGACCTCATTCTGACTGGTGAAAGGATAGAAGCTGGTATCAAGTCGGGGAAGATACATAAAGGTGCATCCTCAAGTTCTGAAAAGAATCCGTTTAAGAAGGAATCTAGTGCTGTTTATGGGTCGAGGAAACAGAATAAACCGGAACGCCGCCAAGCTGTCAACGCGGTGGTAATCTCAAAGCCTGCTGCCGCTCCTCGGCAATATAACCAACCAAGGGGTGAGAGACCCAGAAGGGAGTACACTCGGCTTAGTATGACCCTGTCTCAGATCCTGCCGCAACTACTGTCAACCAATCTGGTAACCATCAAAGAAGCTCCGAAGGTAGTGAATACAACCTCTCCAAAGTACAACCCCAACGCTCGTTGTGCTTATCACTCTGATAGCCCGGGGCATACTACTGATGATTGTTGGGCATTAAGGAATAAGGTTCAGGACCTTATTGATGCTAAAGAAATACAGTTCGAGACGCCCGAAAGGCCCAATGTTGTGACTGCTCCCATGCCCCAGCATGGAGTAAATGCTGTGGAAGAAGACCTGTATGTAGCCTCGGTGGAAGAGATTGTTACTCCGTTGTTGACTGTCAAAAGGAACTTGTTACTAGCCGGTTTATTTCCGGGATGTAGTAAAGGTTTCCATTTATGTGATGTTTCACCTGCTGGTTGTCCCTTGCTGAAGTCAGGCGTCCAAAACCTGATGGATAGCAAGGAGACCTTGTTCGAGAAGATTGCTGTTCCTACTGTCCCTGCTGAAGAAGTATCTATTGTTACTATTTACTCTCCTAAGGCTCCCTCAAAGAAGCCTGTCAAAATCATGTCTACTCAGAAGATTGCTCCTATCATCATTACTGTTCCGGGGCCCCTCCCTTATACATCTGACAAAGCTGTCCCTTGGCACTATGGGGCAGATGTTTATGTTCTTGGAGTAAAGCAAGAGTTTGATACTAGTATCGGCGTCACCAACATCACCGGGCCTGCCAAGGTTACTCGTAGTTGTAGGCTGTTCTCACCAGATATTGCGCCACCATTTATTCAGAGACCTCTTGTTATCACACCTGCCAGTGTGCCTGTTTCCCCTCCTGATCAAGTTTCTACCCCTGCTGCTGAGTCATCTGACGCTCGAGGCAAAGGGGTTGCTACTGATGTGCCTGCCTGGACGGAGGCACTAAAGACAACCACTGTTGAGGCTTCCCAGCAAGAGATGGAAGAGATTCTCAAAATTATCAAGAAAAGTGATTTCAATGTAGTTGAGCAGCTGGGGAACACCCCCTCTAAGATCTCTATGCTATCACTGTTGTTGTGTTCAGAGGCCCATGCCAAGGCCCTGATTTCCTTCCTGAAGACGGCCCATGTGCCACAAGAAACGTCTGCTGACCAATTTACCGATTGTATGGCCAACTTGACTGTTGATAATGGGTTGGGTTTCTCTGATGTTGATCTGACCGCTAAGGGAAAGAACCATAACGATGCCCTGCATGTCTCCATTGAATGCAGGGGCACTACTCTTGCCCATGTGCTGGTTGACACTGGTTCTTCATTAAATGTATTGCCCAAGAAAGCTCTAGACAGGCTGGATTATAAAGGTTTAGAGCTCAAGCCAAGTAACATTGTTGTCCGGGCCTTTGACGGGTCGAAAAGAATGGTACATGGTGAAGTTGACATTCCAATCAGGGTTGGTTCTCAAGTTTTTGATTCTACTTTCTATGTGATGGACATTCTTCCATCCTATTCTTGTTTGCTGGGTCGTCCATGGATCCACAAGGCTGGAGCTGTGACCTCCACATTACATTAAAAGCTTAAGT